AGAAAACCGCTCCCAGTGGATGACGGCGTACCCTCTGACGAGAGTGGTGTTGCCCTATCTGTATGGGTCACCCATAGGTAAGTAATGTCGTGACTATAGATATCTGTTAGAGTCATTATAGTTGGTACGACCGTAGTCATAAATCGTATCATGATTTGACCAACCGGAAATGGGCCTTAGTAAATTGGCGTATCTGTATCTGATCTGATCATTCCACTTGACTAGTTGGAAATCTGTATCTGCCCCTAAAGATGGAAGTTGTAACGATTTCGCGAAATATGACACGAAAAATCTGTACATTTCATAATTTATTTGATTTTCTCTATTATGTGGCATGATATATGTTTGATTTTCTGTGCTAACGTATCATTTTTTTAACAAATAAATGATTTTTCATAATGTGAGATAGGTAAATGAGGAATCTAAACGGTAAGTTAAAATAATTAACTTTTGAAATCTTACGATGTTAATTTAATACTATTTTCCTTATTGAGCATATGCAACTCACTCTTTTCATGCCGCCCCTCCCAGATGAGGAAGAAAATGAGAAACCACAGGCAGACCTATCCTTGGAAGTGTATGAGGATTTCGTGAATTCACAAGTCTAAGTACATAACTGTTCCGCACTCTGATGAATTCAATAGCATAGTGAAATAAGCGGCCCTTATGTTTTTTATTTTGTACCAACTCCTGTCCTCAGTTTATGTATGTATTTGGAACTTATATATATTTGTAAGGGATTTGTTATGATTTGATTTTGTTGCCATAAATTTTATCATGCACTCGTTATTTTGAATCTGTATCTAAAACCTATTTGTCTTAATTAGCACTTGGAATGTCACAGCGACTATTCTAACTAAATGTGAAAAATGTTTTTCTCAATGAAAAACTAGAGGAAGAAGTTTATATAGAGAGAACACCTAGTTTTGAAAGTCAAGACACTAACAGAATGGTCTGTAGACTCGAAAAGTCCCTATATGGGCTCAAACAACAGCATAGTTTTACAAAATTCATTAAGGAAATAAAGAGGTTTGAATTATAATCATTGTCAAATAGATCATATTATATTTATCAAACATGATCTTTTAGGAAAATGTAAATCCTCATAAAAAATGTAGATGATATAATAAGATAGGAGATGACACATAGGAGATACTCAAAGTAAAAAAAAGTGTGAACTAAAGAATTTGGAATTAGAAACCTAGAAAATCTCAAATAATTCTTGGGAAGAAAATAGCTAGTTCATGAAAAAGAATCTAAGTTTCTCAAAAAAAATATGTGTTTTGATCTTCTAAAAGGAACTAGTACGCTTGCATCAACTCCTCAGACACACCCATGAAATTAACAGTGCTCTAGTTGAACAAGAAAGATATTAAAGTCTAGTTAGTAAATTGATTTACCTCTCACATTACAGACCATATAGTTATCAGTGTGGTAAATCAATTCATGAATAATCCAATTAAAGAACTTATGGAGATAATGTTTTGAATTCTCACATATCTAAAATAACAATTGAACAAGAACTATTTTCACAAAAAAAAAAAAAGAAGCCAAGAACTTGAAATATATATTGATGAAGATTTAGTTGGTTTTATAACTGATAGAATATACCAACATCTAGTTCGTAAATTTATTCACGTATCACTTATTAGACTAGATATCAGTTTTACTATTAATGTCGTAAGTCAATTCATAAATAACTCAATTGAAGAACTTAATGACAACTGGACAATGGCTATTTTTTTTTTTTAAAAAAAAAGAGCAAGAATTTGAATATGTATTAATGCAGATTGGACTGATTTTATAACTGATAGAAGGTCCATCTCTTGGATACTGTACATATTTCTAGAGAAACCTAATTAATTGGAGAAACCAAAAGCAATCATTGGAATCAAGGAGTAGTATTAAGGTTGAGTTTAGAGTTTTAACGCATGATATCTATGAAGGAATGTGACTATGAAGAATACTAGGTGAATTAAAAATTCTTTTTTTCAGAGGCTATGAAAGTGTTATTTGACATTCAATCCATAATATGCATAACGAAGAACCAAGTTCATCGTGATCGAAATAAACATGTGAAGATTGATAAACACTTTATTAAAAAGAAAATAGAGTCATGAGCACATTCATTATTGCCATCAAATTGTGGATATTTTCACAAAGACATTACCTAGAAAGACTTTCAAAGAATAGAGTTCCAAATTTGATTTACTCGACATCTTCAAACTAGTTTGAGGGGTAGTGTAGGAATTCAATTTTTTATGGAAGTTAAATTCTTATAAAAATTGGTGCTTTCAAGAAAATCTCCATATAAAGCGGAGTTACAGTCGGCTTCCATAACTGAAAGATCTTTTCTTTTTATGGGCTATTTATAGTCAGTTTTCTATTAAAACTTTTTCTAATCTTCTCCTATATATATTCAGCTGTTGTAAATTAAGTATAATAAATAAAAATCCAATAAATAGAAAATTTAATTACAAACTTTCATAGTAAGTGTTATCAATCAATTTATGCACAACCCTAAAAAAGTCCATTTATAATCAGCTCGCCGAGTGTTGCAGTATTTTAAAGGTATATCACGAAAAGGTATCCTCTTCAAAAGGCATGGAAATTTAGTTCCTAAGATATATACATAGGCCGGCTATGTTAGCCAATCATCAAAAGGTGGTCAACCTCCGAATATTGTGCTTTCCTTAGCAGTAATCAGGTGACATGAAGGAGTAAAAAGTGGAATGTGATAGCAAGGTCAAGTGTGGAGGAAGGACTTTTGAACAATGGCTCAGTTTGTGTGTGTGTGAATAGCTCTGTATAATTATCATCTTAGAAGATTTAAAGATTAAATGAGATGGTCCAATCAGAATTTATTGTGATATAAATCTACCATCAGCGTAGCCATTATCTGGTACAATACAATCAAAGGAAGCATATAGAAGTTGCCAAACACTTTATTAAATTGGATACTCGTATACCTATTATGTCAAGACATGTCCAACTTGCTGATGTACTTACCAAAGAGTTAAGTGTTGCAGAGTATTGTCTTCAAGCTGGAAATAGAAAATACCCATTCACCAGCTTGCTTGAGTGGAAGTATAGACAAAATAATAAATTGCGCATATATATTTTTTCCTTTTCTGTAACAGATTGTATCCCTAGAATTAAGCTTCTCAAATTAGATGTCTATTACAGTAGAATATCCCACAAATCATGAGATCAACCAAGTTTCCTTTTCTATAACTAGGATTGCAGTATATATACCTGCAACTTTTGTGTATCATTCAATAAAAAGAAATAAAATTCTTCCACAAAACCCTTAAAACTAAGAAATCATAGGTGTAATCTCAAGATTCTTATCCCTAAATCTCTAAGTTGGCAAATCAACCCTAATTTGTCCTAAATAATTATATATTATTAATCTCTTAAAGTTGTATATCAAATTGCAAAATATCAATAATCCACTCAATAAAAATGACAAGGGGAGACTGAAAATGCAGATGTAGGCAATTCTGAAGTATAATAGGAGGATTACCATATCCCACAAACGCATCCAGGTACATATGTTCTTTGTCAGTATCATTTCCAAATTCATGCACAGTCCAAGCAAGTATCACATTGTAACAGGCAAAAGGATTTTCATATATGTTCAAGGGGCAGTAAGTAATGGGATTAGGTACATATAGAAACAGTAAAGATCTTCTTGTGTTTACTCATCGTGATTAAGCCGGTTATGTAGATGACAAACAAACATAACAGGTTATGTATGTTGTCTGGCGCCTGTTGTTCTTGGATATCAAAAAACCAATAAACTACTGCTCTATCAAGTACAGAAACAAAATATATAGCTGAAACAGCTAAAACATGTCATGGCACTAGGTTGAGGAGAATACTTGCTGCATTTGAAGCAGAAGTAAGAGAAGCCAACTATAGCGTCGGGTAACAACAAGTCTGCAATTACATTGAGCAGAAATCCAGTCCAGCAAGATAGATCAAAACCCATTGTAAGTATGCCATCATTACATCAAAGAATTAGTTGCGAAAGGAAAAGTATAGTTGCAGTGCTGAGACAATGAAGAACAGCCAGCAGACATGTTTACAAAAACATGTGTAGAGAAGTCCAAGAAGCTAAGCACCTTAATTGCTCTGGAGCCCCTTGCTTAAATTAAAGGGGACTGTTGGAAGATAATTCAAGTCCTGTTTTTCGCATATTAAGTTTTCCAGATCTGTTTTTCTCCTTATTGTCAGTATCTAGAGATGTACAAGGCATCAAAGAGTTGATGCAGTCTAGGGAATTCAAAAATACAGAAACATGTTTCCCATTCTCAATAAATTTGCTAATTTAAGCATTTGAGAAGTTTTCATAACTCAGAAAAGTCCTTTGCAGCCAAATTTTTCTCTCTAATTTTCGTTTAGTTTCTTGCAGACAATGATTAGATGATAAACTGCATTCTAAAGTTTTTTTGAGAGAATAAAATATATTCTAGGGTTAGTATATGAGTAACACAATACAGTTAAATGAATAGGTTAATTGTTTTGTGTTGCCAATTTGAACATTGATTTAGTAACTCATCTCCAATCTCTGAACATTGATTTAGTGACTCATATCCAATCTCAAGTGTTCGAACATTGCCATTCCATCGTTCTTCATGAGACAACCAAAATAACGTTAAAGAAAACTGAAATGTTGTAACAGGGCAGATTGCTTAAGATTGAGATTCTAGAGGAAGTCACATTGAAGAACATGCGCGGTATGAATCACCATGTATTTATAGGACATCTAACAAATTAATGAATTAACATGTTAAGTTTCTACATCGTTTTCAGAAACGAAATGAAACCATGAAAAATTCTCGAACTATATGCCAACTGATTAACATAAAATTTCTTTTTAAAAAAATAAAAAAAATAAAAGTATGAACTGATTAACAGAATAATACTAAAAGGGAAATTTTAATAACTATTTTTCTGACAGCTGGAGTCTAAATGGTCATAGATTAGCCACTTACAGTATTTAGGAATTGATTGAGGATCATAGTAGTTGGAGTTAGAACCCCAAGTCTCTGGCAGGTCTAGAGACACAAGAGGAGGAGACATTAGGAAATGGCACTTCTCACCATCCTTAAAGGTATGAATCCCTCTATTTCTGGATGGCATGCCCTTCTTCCAGACTACTGCCATCCTTGCAACAACTCTCCTGCCAATCATCACCATCTCATTTCCTGATAAGAATTATATCATTCCCCCAAAAAATCCTAGCCTCTCTCTTCGCCAAATCATCCCTTCCTCTCAAACTCCTCTTTCACAGGAAAAAAAAAATCTAAAAGCTTCTGTCGAAATTGTCTCTGCCTTCTCAACCTCCTCTCCTTCCTTCCTCAGTGTCGGTTTCCCTACTATACCTGCTTCTAGCACGAATTTGGCCCTTGTCCACAACGGCTTCTAGCCTCTATCGGTTTCACGGAGCACGAGTCTCTCCGCCTCCGGGTCTGGCACCTAAGGTTGCTCCCTCCTGACGCTTTCTTCTCTCACAACTCTGCTTCCCTCTCCTCTCGGCCACACTTCTTCTATGCACGCACGTTGTTTCTCTGATGTATTGATTTTTGCTTTTTCCCTTTTATGGAAAGAAGACACAGATGCATAGGAGATGAGTAAGACTAAGATGAAAACAATTTAAATTATGCATACAGTTTCACTTTATAGAACCAATTATGTTGGTTCTGAATGGTGAATATAATTCAAAAGGTGAATGAACTGAGTTTGATAATTTTAATACAATTTTAAGCTTAATCCAATAATCTCTCTGTTTTTTTCTTTTAGAAAAGTTACTTTTAACTTAGTTTTTGCCAATAACATGAATAAGGAAAGATTACTTTCAACTTTAATATGTTAACGTCAATCACAAACTTGTTGCTATACTAATGTGGATTAACAAAGAATAACTTGAACTATAAATTATGTATTTCAATTATAAATTCAATTCAAACTCAATTAAAGCAAGTTATGAAGGTAAGAATAAAGAAGAAGATGCAAATATTGTTTATACAGGTTCAAGTGTAACGGTCCCAGAAATTTAAATGAAATGTATGTATTAAAAATCTCAAATGCGGAAGCGTAATAAAATTTTTGATTAATATCTCTTACACAATAACCAAAATGTACTCAAAATATGAAGGAACAAACTAACTAAAAGAGATACTCGAAATAAGAACTATAAATATAACTATGAAGTCTTTAGGCGTGCCCTTCGCCGTCCATGCCTAATTGAATATGAGCCGTCCGTACGCGTGAATCTGGGCCATCCGTGTGCACGTTTGATCTGGGCCATCCGATCGCGCGCACGCGGATCGCCCACGTGGCCCGTCCCGTGTCAGCGTTTCCTTGCCACGCGGTGTGGCCTGGTTGGCCGGGGCTACTGACCGGGTCGCTGACGTGACACAACTTTTCTAAATTACATTTTGACCATCGGTTTCTGATTTTCTTTTCAAAAACACCTCCAGAATCTAAATTTTCACTCCTTTTTCCTAAAATCAATTTTAATTAAATCGAAATAATATTTTTACCTAATTTTATCATTATTATTATTTTTATTTATATTAAATTAAATTAAATTAAATAAAAATCTAAAAAATTCAAATAAATAAAAAATAAAAATAATAAGATAAAATAAGAAAAAAAAAAACACTTGGGTGTTACAACTCTCATCCCCTTAAAGAAATTTGGTCCCCCAAATTTGCCTCTTACTCTTGGACGAACAAATGGGGATACTGGGCTCTAAATTCTGATTCTAGCTCCTAGGTAGCCTCCCTGGGCGTGTGGTTCTGCCACACGAACTTTACAAAAGATATTTTCCGATTTCGGAGTATTCTGTTCTTTCGGTCCGTGATACCGACTGGTACTTCTTCATAAGACAAGTCCTCTCGGAGTGGAAGCAATTCATGAGCCAAGACATGAGAAGGGTCTGGGTTGTACTTACGTAGCATGGATACATGAAACACGTTGTGGACTTTGGAGAGCTCTGGAGGCAGTGCTAGTCTGTAGGCAGCAGTACCAATCTTGTCTAAGATTTCAAAGGGTCCAATATATCGGGAGTTTAATTTTTCCCTCCTGCCGAACCTACTAATTCCCTTGAAAGGAGTGACCTTAAGAAACACCCGGTCTCCTTTCTCAAACTCTAGGTCTCTCCTCCGGGTATCTGCATAACTCTTCTGCCTACTCTGAGCTGTCTGAATGTTCTTCTTGATTTTAACTATTTTGGACGTGGTCTCCTCTATCAACTCCAGGCCGAATAATCTTCTATCGCCCACTTCCTCCCAACAAATCGGTGATCTGCACGGGCGCCCATATAATGCCTCATATGGAGCCATGCCGATGCTTGCTTGGTAGCTGTTGTTGTAGGCAAACTCTATCAGGGGTAGATGGTCGTCCCAATGGCCTCCAGAGTCCAAGACACAAGCTCGGAGCATATGCTCAAGCGTACAAATTGTCCTCTCTGATTGTCCATCAGTCTGGGGATAGAAGGCAGTATTAAGAGACAGCTTTGTTCCCATAGCTTGCTGGAAAGTTACTCCAAAACTGAGAAAGTGAACCTGGGGATCCCTGTCGGACACTACTGTCACTAGAACCCCATGCAATCTGACTATCTCCCGAATATACATCCTTGCCAACTTGTCCAATGAATCGGTCATCCTGATGGCTAGGAAGTGGGAAGACTTGGTAAGTCGGTCAACGATTACCCATATGGCATCATGTCCTGAACGTGCCTTGGGTAGCCCCGATACGAAGTCCATGGTGATGTGTTCCCACTTCCACTCCGCGATTGGTAAAGGCTGAAGTAACCCACTTGGGCGCTGATGCTCTGCCTTGACCTGCTGACATACCAAGCATTTAGATACAAAGTCGGCTATGTCTCTCTTCATCCCATGCCACCAAAATCAGGGTCGCATGCTTTGGTACATTTTGGTACTTCCTGGATGCATGGTAAACTTCGAGCTATGGGACTCCATCATGATGTCCCTTTTTAACTCACTGTCATCTGGGACACACACTCTGTCTTGGAAACGAAGTAATCCATCGGCAGAGATTCGGAATTCTGAGCTCCCTCCCTGTTCTGCATCCTTCCTGCGGGCTACCAGGGCGGGGTCAACTGTCTGGGCTTCCCTTATTCTTTGGATTAACTCAGGCTGGACTGTCAGGCGGCCCAAACATGTGACTCTCTTCAGATCGTGAAGTCGAACCTGTTGTGTGGCCCCAATTAGTCTGCATTCTGAAACCATCAAATGGGATAAGATACCTGCACTTTTCCTGCTAAGAGCATCTGCTACCACGTTGCCCTTACCCGGATGGTATAAGATATCACAATCATAGTCCTTAAGGAGTTCCATCCACCTTCTCTAACGCATGTTGAGATCCTTCTGAGTGACTATGTGTTTCAAACTCTTTTGATCGGTATAGATCTAAAAGGTCTCTCCGTACAAATAATGGCGCCAGGTTTTCAAGGCGTGAATGATTGCGGCAAGCTCCAAGTCATGGGTGGGATAGTTCTTCTCATGATTCTTTAACTGTCTAGACCCATATGCTATAACCTTTCCATGCTGCATCAGGACACAACCCAGGCCCAGATAGGAGGCATCACTATAAACTGTATATCCTCCCGATCCACTCGGTAAAGCCAGCACGGGTGCAGTGGTCAGCCGCTTCTTTAATTCTGAAAACTTCTTTCGTAGTCCTCATTCCACTCAAACTTGGCATTCTTCTTTGTGAGTCAGGTTAGAGGAGCTGCTAGACTGGAGAATCCTTCAACGAACCTGCGGTAATAACCTGCCATTCCCAGGAAGCTACGGATTTCCTTAACTGATGTCAGCTTCTCCCAGCCAAGTACCGCTTCAACCTTTTTGAGATTCACTGATACCCCTTCCTTCGATATGATGTGTCCTAGGAAGGCGGTCTGCTCAAGCCAGAATCCACACTTACTCAACTTGCATATAACCTCTTGTTTCTGAGGACCTGCAAAACTTGAGCAAGATGGTGAGCATGTTCTTCTCTAATTTTTTAGTAGACTAAGATATCATCGATGAACACGATGACAAATTGATCCAAGAACTCTTTGAAGACCCTGTTCATCAGATCTATAAAGATTGTCGGGGCATTGGTTAGCCTATATGGCATGACCAGGAACTCATAGTGTCCGTACCTGGTTCGGAAGGCCGTCTTGGGGATATATTCTGTTCTTATCTTCACCTGATGGTAACCTGATCGCAGGTATATTTTAGAGAAGACCTGTGCACCCTGCAGCTAATCAAAGAGGTCATCAATCCGGGGAAAGGGATACTTGTTTTTGATCGTAACCTTGTTCAACCCTCTGTAATCAATGCATAGTCTCAACGTTCCATCTCCCTTCCTTGAAAAAGTGACTCCGGTACCCCAAGGGGACACACTGTGTCTAATAAAACTACTGTCTTGCAATTTAGTGATCTGTTTCCTTAGCTCTTCCATCTCAATGCGGCTCATGCGGTAAGGAGCAACCGAAATGGGCTAGGTACCTGGCTGTAGGTCTATAGTAAACTCGACTTCTCTATCCACTAGCAGACCGGGTAGTTCGTCCGGAAACACATCTGGGAAGTCTCGGACTACTGGAATCTCTTGAATACAAATTTCCTTCTTGGGCTTGCCTAGTCAGAGAAAACAGCAAGATTAAGGCACTAGAAGTTAAGAAAACTTGCTATCAAGGAATAAGTACTGAATAATTTTATTAATTTGTAAATGGCTCCTCGTTAGGAGGATTAAATACAACTTTCTTGTTAAAGCAATTTATGGTGGCGTGATACACCGCTAGCCAATTCATTCCTAAGATTATATCAAAATCTCCCGTGTCTAACTCTATCAGGTCTACACTCAGTTTTCTATTTGTTATCGCCATGGCACAAGCCCTATAGATAACTTCCCCTAGTAGTGTTTCACCCCCGGCAGTAGACACAAACAACAATGAATCAAGTTTATCAGGTGATACATTAATTTTGGAAGCAAAAACATGTGAAACAAAAGAGTGCGATGCACCAGTGTCAAATAAAACATGAGCAAAATGGTCACAAATAGTATACATACCCTGTACCACATCCGGGTCAGCGTCGGCATCCTGCTGGGTAAGGTTGTAAGCTCTGCCCTGGATAGGAGGCATTCCTTGATTCTGGTTCCTCAGGCATTCTCTTGCATAATGCTGGGCACTGCCACAAATGCGACAAGTGTTGTTGAGGCGGTAGTAGGATCAGTCCCCGTGATCTCTGTCGCAGTGCTGATAGATCTTCCCACGGGCTGCCTCTGGAGCCTGAGGGGGGGCCTGGATGGCTGGTCTGGGCCTCTTATTTGGTTGGGCAGGCGCAGTAGGTGCTGGCCTGCAGAACAGAGCTGAGGGTCGGGAACTCCCTCCTGGCTGAGGACGGGTGTTGAAGCTCCTTTCCACGATCTGTGCCTTTGCTAGAACTGCTGAATATGTCTTGAGCTCCAGTACCAACAAGTGTTGCCTAATCTCCAAGCGGAGGCCCCACTGGAATCTCCTGGCCTTTCGGCCCTGTCTCCGGGGAGTATCGGCCCAGCTCTAGGAACTTACGAGCATATTCTGATACTGTCATGTTTTCCTGAACCAGTTGAACAAACTCCGTTTCCTTTAGGTGTCAGATGTGCTCAGGGAGATACTCCGCATGGAAGGCC